CTCTGCTTTCATTAAAATCGGGTCCTATTAATTAAAATTCACGGCAGCGAGAGAAGGCACATCAGCCTTTTGCTTCAAAAGGATGCGGTGAGGTTCTTTCCAAAACCGTTTTCCGGGGGATTTAGTTTCCCATTCCAATTCCAGTCAGCACAGCATCAGCCAGCCAGCAGCAGCCAGATGCCGGCTCTTGACTCCGGCTGGAGGTTGGGGGCCCAAATTGAGGGACGATCGAGGATGATGATTGCGTCTCTTCCTTCCTCATTCCTAGATTATTAGTATTATTATTATTATTAGACAGAGTTTTCGAGTGGATAAGTAAAGAAGAGGTCATGATGATTTCGACGGGGATCAATCTGGTGATGACGGTGATCGGATTCGCCGTGAGTACGATGTTCATAGTGTTCGTGTGCACGAGGCTAATATGCGCCAGGATTCAATTGCGGGCCTCTAGGAGGAATTTTCCGACCGCCTCCAGATCCGATCTCAGCGTCGTGAGTTTTTCTTTTTTTTTTTACCCTCTTTCTATCTTTCCAATTTATTATTATTATTATTATTATTATTATCATCATCATTATCATCATCATTATCATGATGATGATGATGATGACGACGATGATGGAAAGTGTTTGGGACTTCTATTTTCTGTTATGATGATTATTAACGACCGTTTCCTTTCGGTTTATGATTCAGGGGATAAAAAAATTTTTGGTGATGTTTATTGTACTTTTATTATTATTTTCTGATGACATAGGAAATTTGAATTAGTCAAAATGCATATTAAATCGCTTGTAAGTTGCAATGAATACTTTTGACTTTAATATCTAGTTTTAAAACCGTAGGGTAGGGTCGATGACTTCACCTTCACCGTTGTGGAAATTCAACTGTTGTTCCAAAAAATGCAACCAAGGCATGCCATACTTGGAACCTGTTTGTTTCTTGTAACTCGGAAATGATGAATACTGGTCCTTTTAGTATCCGTCTAAGTTTTTGCCCGCGTGGAGTTGTGTTAGCCCTCATACCTTGTTATGAAGTTAGTTTGATAATCTCGCTCTGAAAGCACTCAGGTTTATCTGAGATTTGTGGGGGCAATTGGCAGAGAGCCTCGTTTAGATTCTGAGTTGGGGCTACTGAATTTCAAGTTCGTATGATGGAGGAAATGGAATGACCATTTTAGATCTCAGAATGCCCTTAAAATGGGGAAAGGAGCCAAAGGATATCGTGTTATAGATATTTTGAGATATTTTATTGTACCAAGAAATCAGCAGGTTTCATCTTGCTACTGACTAATTCATCTCTTTGACCTTTTTTTCTCTTTCAACAGCTTGAACGTGGGCTTAATGGATTGGAACCGTTTGTCGTAGCAAGCTTTCCGACAAAGGAATTTGGCAACCATTTCTCATCTGGTCATGATACTCAAGATACCCTGTGAGTTTTCCGTCATTGAGTTATGGACTATGCTTCCACTCGATTTTGCATCGTTTATTCTCCTTTTTACTCGTTAGATATTGCCATGTTAATGTTATCCATATTGATTCTAAGTGTTCAGTGACTTTCTGAGATCAATTGCCATCTATGAACTTTTTAGCTTTTTTCCTATGGCATTTGATCTTATAGATTTTAATATTTTGCGGTAACATCAGTGAGTATTTATTCCAGCATTCATATCTAGAGAGGTAAGGAATTTTTGTTTCACATTAGATTGCTTACAGAGAAATGAATATGAATTCTAATTTAGGAAACCTAATACAAACAGCAGCCATTGGTAAACTGGACGTGAAAGAACATGATTGCTAAAATGATTCTTTAATCATGGACAAATAGTCTCATATTACACAAATGTTATTATTATTTTCTTAGTGTCCAAGATGTCTACCCAATGCACAAACATGTATGCTCCAAGAAAATGGTCTCATTATCATTGTTTGGGCTAAGTTTGCCATTTACGTACTTTCCTGGCCTGAGTTTATTGGACTCGTTTCGTGGAATATTTTCCTCAGAACCGTTAAAACTCAAAAGTCCCCCATTTAATGATCAAGTTCACAAACCTGCTCGTTACCTTTTGCTCCTCCAGTTTCACCAATTTTGTTAAGTGGGAGAAAGTTTGTGCTCCTATTTAAAATTTTAATCTGGTCAGGTATATCATGGCCTATTGAGTGCTATCAGCATCAGATTGCTGAAGCCTTCTTAATATAATGTGGCATGCAGCTATATCAGGTATCAACCACTTTGTATTTACTTCACCGTCAATTCTTTTTCCAAAGTAACATGGCGTTCCTCATTTATATTTCTCTAGACACCTTTCTTTGTTTACCTGGTTTTGTGTCTTGATGGATGATTCTCTGATTTGCTCGAAGCCTCCCAGTCATCAAAGTAGATGCAATATTCTTCTTACTACTGTCACTGTTATCCACAATAACATATCATTGTCCTAGACTGCTTTTCTTGCATTTCCAGTGTAGAGGTTCTGGTTATAGTAAGTGCTTCCGCAAAGTAAAACAATTTGGAGCCTAATCCAAATTTGAACATCCACAGCAATTCAGTTCTTTCCCAAGGCACGAGAAACTAAAATTGTTACCATGTGAACTGATGCACTACCATCATGGGAACCTCCATATAATCATTGAACCTCGCCACTTCTATGAGCCAATCAAGAAAAACTTTGATGTAATGTGTAGGATTGAGTCTCAACAAGTCAACTTTTTTCTTAGTTCTCATTATTTTGTCGACTTTATCTTCTAGACGTTCAGCAGACTTCAATCTTACTAGTTACTATATTCATGGGTGGGTAGAATAGTGACATGTGTGAATTGTGGAGATGTGTATCCTGCTAGGGGTGGCCAAGATGGCACATACCATACATGTCTGTGCAACCTACGGACCACAACTGGGCCATAGTTGTCCAATATCCTACCATGAACTGGTTGATTGCAATTCAACTATTGCGTGCATGTATTTCATAATGTTGATGTGCTTTCACAAACATTGTCGTCATTTTTTTATTTCTTGTCGTCCTGTTGTTACATTCTGAACTGTTTTAAGTTAGTACGAATGTTAACATATGTGAAAACAATCACTGACTGCACTTGACTACAAATAGTCACAGGATAACACAATCTTAGAACTATAGTTTGAGCATTGCAATACCCCCTAATCCCTGGATGAAAAATAAACATGGCCTTAGTACGTACATATAGATAATTTATTACTATCATATTTTAAGGATTGGTTGCCAACTGAAGAGGGTGGTGCATGTTCTCATAGCATATTAATTTTAAGAGGTGGAGACTGGAGGCTTCATTTATGATATGAAGAACCTTATTTTGACAGGCCTTTTCTATTTGATGAGAGATGATAAAAAGTTTAGAATTTTACTCATAATTTGGTCTCGGTATTAACAATATTGACAGACTGATGAACCTGCATAGCCTAACATGAGCAATGGAGCCATATTATTACTTGAAACTTCACAAGAAACTCATTTCTACATTTAGATAATTCTCTTAACAGTTACCTCTATGCAGCACGGTATGATAATTCTAACTTTTACTCTTGTGCTATAGTTTTGTTTGTCTATACTTGGGGGTATTAGCCTCATTTTCCTAAATATTAGGGATAAAATCTGCATCAGGTACTTGTTGTTTGCCAGGAATTACCTGCAACTCTCATGGCAATTGTACCTGAGTGTTTGGGTAGAAAATTGTATTTTTTATTGTATAACTCATTACAACTTTGATCGTTACAATAAGTTTAAAAAGATCGGTCTTTTTATAAGACCTTTACACAATAAAAATAAAAGTTACAATTCTCGTTCAAACAACACGCAACAGGTGTTTATCGCTTATTGCTTTGTATGAGATCTTTATCTGTGCCGGGGTTTATCCGTGGACCGCCTACGGATCAGATCCAGCTGATGGAAAATTCAGCAGAACTTCGCCTTCGCCGAGGAAGTATTTGATTTGAAGCGCTGAGATTGACCAAGCGAAATCAACACTCTTCTCGAGATCAAGACCAAGCCTGATCTCAAGGAAATGGGAGAAGCGGGCTTCGGATCCTTCGAACTCTCCTTCTTTATGATGAAGAACTCGCCAAGATCTGTCAACCCTTGCTGAAATTCGTGCTCTTTTGACTCCTCAATTCGGCAGCACCTCCTCGTCTTGATAATAAATCGCCCCCTCTGAAAGGAGGTCCTAGGCTTGTATTTATAGGGCTCCGGATGCGGGTATGTGGATGAGAATGAGTGATTTGGCCTTATCTTCAATCAATAACGGTCTAACCACGTTTGTAGATGATATCTAGGCAGTTAAGAACCCCTGAAACAGATAAATCCCGAGAAAAACGCACAAAACCGTCAAAAAATGCTCAAAACCGTTGAAAAATGCGTCCGGGGGTCAAACCTGCGCGAAACACCCCGCTGACCCGCGGGGGGTGCGGGTCGGCGCGGTCCAACCGGGTCGGCACGGTTCGACTCGCGCGGGTGCGGGTAGTTCGGCCTTTTTGCTGAACTGTTTGGTGTTTTCCGACTTTTTCGGGACTTGTATTTTCCACCGTTTTACGTATTTGACCGTCTTGTTGACTTGTACGATTTGCTAACTTGCTTCATGCGTTCGTTAGCTTCTTTACGGTACTTGGAATTGACCGACGAGCGAAAGTTGACTGACGAGTGCATTCGGTCGCTTGGAGTTGATCGACGTGCGCGTGTTGATTGACGCGTGCGAGCTGATTAATGCGTGCGAGCTTATTGACGCGCGCGAGCTGACTAACGTGCGCGCGTTGACCGACGCGCGCGAACTGATTGACGCGAGCGTGTTGACCGTCGCGCGCGAGCTGATTGACGTGCGCGTGTTGACCGACGCGCACGAGCTGATAGACGCGCGTGTGTTGACTGACGTGCGCGAGCTGGTTGACGTGAACCTTCTCGATTGGTTAATGTTTGCGTCGAAAGTTGATGTATTCATTGCGGTATTCATTACAACTTCAGTCGTTACAATGAAAACAAAAAGGATAGTCTTTTTATAAGACTCTTACACAATGAAAACAAAAATTACAACTCTCGTTAAAACAAACACAGGGAGATCGTTTATCGGTCTTCTGTTTGTACGGGATCTTTGCTTGTGCCGGGGATTTTGATATCCGTGGACCGCCTTAGATCTGGATCCGGTTGATGAAAAATTGGGCAGAGCTTCGCCTTCACCGAGAGAGTATTTGATTGAAATGCTGAAATCGACCAAGCGAAATCAGTAGCTCTTCTCGAGATTAAGACAAAGCATAATCTCAAGAAACGGACGTACGAGCTTCAGATCATTCGAATAACTCCTTTATGCTGGAGTTCGCTAGGATCTCGCTAACCCTCGCTGAAATTCGTGACTCTTGGCTCTGGAGTTCGACAGCACCTCCTCCTCTTGATAATAAATCGCCCCCGTTGAAAGGAGGTCCTAGACTTGTATTTATAGGGCTCCGGATGCGGGTATGTGGATGAGAATGAGTGATTTGGCCTTATCTTCAGTCAATAATGGTCTAACAACGTTTGTAGATGATATCTAGGCAGTTAAGAACCTCTGGAACAGAAGAAACCGGTCGAAACAGCCTAAAAACGCGTTTTAGAGGTTACGGACAGTTCTGGGCGTGAGACGGGTGGATCCGACCCTCCGCCGCGCGGGTCAGTTTGAGATACCTTCAGTATTTTGGTCTTAACTCTCTCGTCCGACCTCGGATTGAGCTGGTTCAAGATGTGTTGGAAAGCTGACAAAGATACCTACAACTTTTATCTTTTGAGTTTCCTCAGATTCAAATTGTAACATGGTCTAAATACCTCTTTTTTTTGCGGGCCACTTTGAGGTGTTCGACACTTTCTGACTTATCCAGACTTGTATTGCGTATTTCGTCATTCCGTTGACTTGCATGCTTTGTTAACTTGTTTCACGCGCTCGTTAGGTTCTTTATGGCACTTTGGATCTGCCTGACGGGCACGTCGGGCACTTTGTTCACCGTTTCGCTTCATGCGTTTGTCGGCGTCAGATAATCCTCTTAGACTCGGACAACGACGTTCGTCGTCTTCTCTCCGTCTCGAGCTATGTACGGACACCCATAGACATTTTTAGACGCCTACAGTCAACTCTTCATTTCGAGCTGCGTGCGGGACCTTGTAGGCAATTTTAGACGCCTATACTGAGAAGACAAGTAAATGGTTCTGATGACACTTCTAAATATTCAATTGGGAAATTATTCTTTCAAGTGTTCATGCTAGTCCTTAGAAAGTTGAAATATTGGAATTTTGTAAGACGTAACAAGCTAAATCTTCAATTTTTAACTATGTTAAATTAATTTTTTTGGTCGAACCTTCAGATAGTTTATGAATGAAAATTATATTATTTATGAATCTTAATGCACGGAAAAATGGTTGGCAGGTGCACCGTATGTTTGGCGGAATATCAAGAAAGGGACATTTTGCGCATTCTTCCTTACTGTAGACATGCTTTCCATGTCACCTGTATAGATATTTGGCTAAAGCAACATTCAACATGCCCTGTATGTAGAATATCTTTACGTGATTCTCCGGATCGTAAAAGGGCAATGCAACCAGTCTACAGTGAAGCTATCAGATCTCGAGAAAACTTTGAGTTGGATTCTTACTACTATTTGTATGCAGACCATAACTATTCTGAAACAATAGAAGGTAGCCAGAGAGCAGGATATATTCAAGAGAACCAGTTCAGCTCGGAACAATCTGAAGCATCTGAGCCAGAGGTTGATTGCAGTGTTAAGATTGATTGTTACCATGAAAATAAGGACAAGCTCATAGAGAGCCCATCAAATACATAGCAATCCAAGGGTGTAGAGGTTGAAGTTGGCTTCTTGAATCAGACTCTTTGCAGGTTGAGTGGGGGAAAAAGAACTCTTAAAAATTGATATCAAGATGCTGCAACTACCTGTAATGAGTGGAATTTCCTGTTCCCCATGGTTCGCTGTAAATATTACATTCCTTGTTAATCCGTGGAGTGCAAGAGTCTGGATCATAATTTTAATTCACCTCCGCAGCCAAGATTTAACAATTTCATGCGTGCTTTGACTTCATCCAAATCCTTTCCGTCTTGGTTCAAAGTTCGATGGAATCTGATTCAGTCAAATCCTTTCTTGATCTTGCAGTTTATCCCTGGCAGTAGCGCCACTGTTTCATTCACAGTTCTGCCTAAAAATGAGATAGGTTGCAGTTACTTGGTTTCATATCAGCAATCTCCGGCAGGGATGAAAAGAGTCATCAGTTATGTAAGCATATGCTCGCATGATGCTCGATCTTGAAAGCAGATGGTAAAAGGTATAATCAAAACCGTTCCTTTTTATCGCAATGCTTGTTTTGTCGTATCATGGGAACTTCGGAACTTCTGGCGGTGCGTTATGTTTCTTACCATCTACGACTTTTTTATTCTTTAAAATCTGATTTTGCCAGATATGCCTTCGACTAGGAAAAAAAAAATGTATTCTTCTGTGGGTTTTCACCATAATCTGTCAGCATACCATGAGCTTGAAGCCACCCCTCGCCCCCATAATTGAAAGTGTGGTCCTAGGCATAATTAATACTCGCAAGAGAATCAGATTAGGGAGCTCGTCTTTTTTGGCGATATGTATACACGGTTTCATATATATATATATATATATATGTCTGTTCTTTTTCTGTAGAGACAATCTGTTACTTTTCTCATTTCTTCAATACTTGGCAGTTTAGTTAGACTTGAGAGCATCATGTTATTATTATTATTATTATTATTTGAACTGTGGCGCCCCCAAGTCAAAAAAGCCCATTTGGGAAGAGAGGTAACAGTCTCCTTCATTAACTGCAAACAGGAGAGTGAATTAGTCACGCATCGCTCATCAGAGAGAGTAAAGTTTGTATAGTGGTGGTATCTAGCTAAGACCATAATCACCAGTGACCACTTTCGAAAGCGATGGATATCTTCCTCTTTCGCTCTCAACATTTCTGATCTCCTTACCACAACCACAAGGATCCGTGTCCATCCCAAACGGAAAGGTCATCACCTTTTTGTATCAGTATATATATATGCTTAATGCAATTTCTTCTTACCCTCAAGCAGACGGGCTGTTCCGTTGATTCCCTAAATAAAAAAAAAAAAAAAAACCCAGAACCGGCCACGTGAACTTGTTAGGTTTCTCCCCATAGATCTCGGCTCAAATTAATAGCTCTTGAAAAATAAAATTGATTTTTAGCCAGTGACCCTTTTCTCCGCGTTGGAGAGGAGATTTCCCCCTCTTTTCTATTTTGTTGACAACAACCAATTAAACAATGAAAACGGAAGTAATAAAAGGATTGAAAAATAGGTTTACTAATTAATTAAAAAAAAACAGAATGAAATCGCTTTTCCTTGTTTTCTGCTCCATTAATTGTAGCTAGGACAGCAGTTGCATTCTTAATTCGTGAGGACTATTCTATCGGCATCTGTCCTGTCTAATTAACTTATAGTTTCAACGCCCCGTGTATGATCAAGGACGGACACGCCACATGGTCATGCGCGCATGTGAAATGGACGAGCATCTACTACTAGCTAACTAACAGCGGCGGGGCCACGCTGTGTCAAAAGAGGAGAGGGCAAATGCTCGCGCGCGCCGAACTAATTAATTTTGTGGTTCGGCCCCCTACCCATTGTATTATCGTACTTGTTCCTGAGGCTTAATTAGTCTTAATTAATAAATTAATTAATTAATACCGCCCCACCCCACGGTGTTTTTAAGTCTGTCTGTAACATAGAACGGTCTGTCCAAGAAGTAACTATCTATATATATATATATATAGACTGTGAAGTTATACCTAATATTAGAGAGCATGTTTTTGGTCATCATTAATGTTATTAAAACGAGTAGCAGACCGGGAAACGAGTATTAATTGCCTACTGTTCAAGCTTTTTATTAATTAGTTTATGAATAATAAATATATATTATGTACTTTAATTTAGGGTGGTGATGATGACTAGAGTACTAGAAATTGTATTTGTTCTACTAGAGAAGCAAAAATCATCATGAGGTCGGTCGATGACTCTTCAAATTAATTAATTTACGCCTTCACGTCCCAACATGTAAAAGCACACCACTATATAATTACGAACGAGTTACAACCACATGGAGGGGGGCGGGTAAAAAAAAAAAAAAGAAAAAAAAAAAAAAAGTTGAAAAATGAAAAGGAGGGTACGTCAAGCATCAACAAGAAGATTATATCCGACGTCGACGCTCTTTAGGCAAAGCATTAATTATCACTTCCTGGGCGTGACCACAGCCAACAGTGGCTTCTCCATAACCACAGTGAACTCAAAGCTTTGTCGCTGAAGTCGACCACAGGTTGAGTGGTGAGCCCGCCACTGCGAAACGCCTGGACCATCCTGGCCACCATCAGCGTAATGTGGGTCATCCCCATCGCCAGACCCGGACACACCCTCCGACCCACGCCGAACGGTATCATCCGGATCCCGGCCAAACCCGTTATATCCGCATTCTCCCTGCCTGTTAAGAACCTTTCCGGGTCGAACTTGTCGGCCTCAGACCACAGCTTGGGGTCGTCCGATATGGTTGGCAGGAAAATCTCCAGATTGGCCCCGAACGGGATGTCGTACCCGCTAAGTTGGGAGCCCGGCTTGAGACGGCGGCGTGGGTGAGGCGAGAAGTAAGTCGCGGGTTTACGGCAGCAAGCTCTTTGATAAACGCCTGCAGGCACGCGCAAATATTTCTCCGTGTCACTTCTCGCTCCACCTCCTGTTCCCGACCGGTGGCCACGATCCTCGTACAGGTTCGACCTGGAAGGCTGGGTTTATCCGATGCAGCCGGCGCGAGGCCACTCGATGGCGGTGGCGTGGTGTCGGTGCGCCGTTGAGGAATCGGAGGACAGAGCGTGAGCAGCTCGACGTCGTCTGGAGGGATTTGCGGCGCCTCGACTTGAGGTCGAGGAGGGAGTACGAGGTAGGAGAAGGGAGCGGCGTGTGGTTCTAGGCCGGGGTTCCGGAGGATGGCCTGGCGTTTCCTGATGAGGGGGACCACGGTCTGCATCTGCTCCTTGCGGACCTCGAGAGCCCGTTTGAATTGCTTAAAGAAGAAGGGCCGGAGGAGGGGGAGGTAGTCGTCCATTCTTGGTGACAGGGTGATGAGGACCTTCTTCATCATCTGATGATCCATCCATTCAAGCGTGAAAATATTAATATAATTGTACGCCACAAATTAATATTCCACATCTCGATCGGTATCCATTAATTAATATCAATATTTCAATAATTCAGATAAAATATTTAAAATACGAACAAACTAACAATAAAATCTCGATCATTTCCAAGGTTTCGAGTTGCCTGCCTACATATATATATCATACACTTAATTTGTTAAGGTTGACAAGAAGAAATAAAGTAAAATTCGTTGCTGTCGTAAAACCTAGTATAGCATCTATGTAAAGTGAATGTTAAAGACCGAGTTCCAAATTTTAATTTAAAAGAGAGTCATGAATACTTCCTATATATGTTTATATTTGAGATGTAATATACTAGGCCCTTTCAAACATATTAATTAAATAGTAATCCAGTTTTATATTATTTGTTTTTTACCTAAAAGAGAGAGAACATTGTGAAGTGTGGCATATGCTGAGATTTAAAGTCGAGTGCAACTATAATTACCATACGTATGACTTCTTTTCTATTTGGGAAGAGGGGAAAAAGAAGTCTATATATTAAAATAGGAGGATATTTAAAGAATAGTATAGTCAAACAGAGGAAAAATTCTTATAAATGTAGATAATTATTCTCCTCTTCGGAGAAAAAAAGTAGAAACGCTTGGGAGAAGCTTCAACTACGTACAAACTGTAGAAATACAAGCTGTACAGAAAACATCAATAACCAATAAATTGAGAAATAATTGCTCCTTAAACAAGTAACTAATTTATAAGGGCAATTGCTTCAGAGTTGATCATGATCACTGATTTAGACATCATCATGCATGCATGCGTGTGAGTGGGATATATAAGCGGTAACTAACCTGATCGATCTTGTCTATACTGTCCTCATCAAGATGAACACCAAAGCACATGGTAATAAGTATACAGAAGACGGCAAAACGAGCATTCTTGAGCACCCAAACCGCACCCTCACTGGACTCTGCCTCGGCCCGAATCCGTTCGATGAACCGGTCCATACCAGACTCCCTAGCAGGCCTGAACTCCTTGAGCCTAGCAGAGCTCAGCATGCCCGAAACCATGTTGCGCCGCAGTGATCGCCACTCTGGCCCGTAAACAGCAGAGTTGACGGTGAACTTGTCGCAGCTGAAAACGGTTCGGGTGGGGTTTTCGGGGGGCCTGCTAGCGAACTCTTGCCCCTTGGTGATGAGGGCCTCGTGGGCCAGCTCGGCATTGGTGATGATGATGAGAGTGCGGGTGCCCATGCGGAGGGTGAATATTGGGCCGTAGAGGGCGCGGAGGTCACGGATGTAGTGGATGATGGGTTTGCCGGATAGCGCGACTTGGAAAAGGTTGCCCACAATAGGCCAGCCTTTTGGGCCGGGAGGGAGGTTGAGGGCCCCCGAGGAGCTCTTCTTAAAGCGGAAGAGGATAAAGACGAGGAGGGAGAGGGAGAAGGCGACGGCGCCGGTGAAAAAGAGGTCGAGGGAAGGAGGCAGGTGAGATGGGGAGGAGGAGGGAGGAGGAGAGGAGGAGGAGGAAAGTGAGGGAGGCAATGAATGCTGCAGTTGATCATGGAATGAATAGAAAGGCAAGGGTTTTGAGTAGGTGAATTGTTGTGTGTTTCGTAGTTTGACCCGGTTAAAGTAGGGAAAAGGGTTATTATAGCTAGGTATAGCGGTTCAGGTTTAAAGCTGGAGCGTCAGTGAATGCTTGAAAATGTAGTTGGGCGAGCCGACCCACTAATCAGTGGATTGGGCACCCTGCTAGCTCTAGACCTTTTTACGCGTTGCTCTTGTATAGTATACGGGGGATAATTTCCTTAATATTTATTATCCATCTTCAATACTAAGATCAGCAATTAATGCTCGTCGATCACACCTCTCTATCCTTAATATAAGAAAGGGGAGGAATTAATTATTGCGTGTTGGATACGTCATGCCCAAGTGTCGTCCCACCGTACATATTGAAAACAACAACAACAACAATAAACATCAGCTAGATAAGTGCTAACTTAATTTAGATTAGATTAAAATGTCAACACTTTATAGTTATATATCACCCTCAGTTCTTCTGTAAAAATTAAGAAGCTACCAAGGTTGACTAGCTCAACTACTACTAGACGCTATCTAATTTTTACCCTTGCTCGTGGGAACCCAGACATCACTAAAAACCTGCGGTCCACATGTTTTCCCACCCAATTTATATATATATATTTCGTTGGTATATATTTTCGAAACCTACGACAACTTAATTAATATATCCCACTTTCTATACTAAACTAGCAACTTAATTTGGTTTACAAGTAAAATAAAGAAAGGCGTGTTTTAAAGGTAATTGGATGGCTCACAGAAGAAGAAGTGGTTCACCAAAGTTTATTTGAAATTAAGTAAATGTAAGCAAAAAGCAAGTCCGTAGGATTAACTCAACCTGCATGTGAGGCTGCAGGGGGTCGTGGGGACACGTAGATGTGGCACTAAATGTAACTTAATTTGCACGGGTTTTCATTTGAGGTTTCCTAATTAGATAGACGTTAATTAAAATCGGCACGAATTACGACATATTTTACCAAGAATATTTGTTAGATTTTTTTTTTTTTTTTGAAAATGAGGCGCGTCATCCTAATTAATTACGGGCCTGTTTGGATTTGTAGGGGGTGAAGGGAAGTTAAGGGAAACTGAATGAAGGAAAGGGAAGAGAAGAAAATTGAATTCCCTTCCCCTTGGTTACACCCCAATTTGGAGGGTAACAATTTTTATACTATTAGGGGGTGAACCAAGGGGAACAAGGGTGAATTAACTTCACCTCCTAATTGTTCCCAAACAAGGTGAATGGAGGTGAATGGTTCCCCTAACTTCCCTTCACCCTCGTTCCCCTCAATCCAAACAAGCCCTACGTACGTACTGAGGGAGGAAAACAGTAATATGGTGGGCCCTCGGCAACCATCTATACCGCTAGCTGGCTAGCAGTACCCGCGCACGTGATGTTAAAAATATGCAAGTTGTTGAGGTGTCAATAATCCATTCCAAGAGCAAAGCGATGCATGCCCCGATCCAGCCCCTTCTAATTTAATTAATTTGCAACCTCTTTTTTCTACTCAAACATGGCGATTAATTAAGGCTCTACTCACCTATTTCTTGCGACTCTATAAATACAAAATTGAAGGACGACAAACAGCATTAATTAATTAATTAATTAATTAATTAACCACCTCCTATGTATCTGCCGCTACGGATTGAAGGAACATAAACATCGGATACTTCTCGTCCACTAATTGATATTCCTCCCGGCCCTTTATTAATTAACTGATTATTAGGTCCACAAAAAAGAAAAAAAAAATTTGTATGGATCGTCCCGTTGGTATCAATCAATCGGTCACTATGTGCGGTGACAAGTTACAAGGCCTGGGCAGGAAAAAGAAAATGAGATGCATATATTATTGATTGATGAGCCTAGATTTTCTGGTCAGGGACTTAAATACTTCTTTCTTCCTGCGAACCAAACATTCAAGCATGACGCGGCCAATTTGCTTGCCTGATGTTTTGGCTTAATTAAAAAAATAAAATAAAATATAATAACTACGAGCAGTGATAAGTAATTAAGTTTTATATCATCCCAAAGGTAATTATTAGTGTTACGAAACCACACGTACGTCATCGAAATGGGGGGACCTGGTCCCCATCTTGGGAAAGTGCATTTTGGGACCTACGAAGGCTGTGCCAATTAATTTAATTTAATTTAACTCCAATTTTAATGAGCTGGAAAGGTTAGGTGACAAAGCTGGTAACTGTTGACGAATTTACTTGTGCAGAGCTACAGCGTTGTAGTAAAATCATGCATGTAAACCTCAAGGTCAAAGTGGCTGGTGAGGTTTGAGTCGGCACGAGGGTTATATATTTATAGTACTCTGGACTGATGTTCGACTATTATCAGAGCGGTATCCTTTTTAAATCCGCTTTATAAATTTGTGACTACCGGTAAAATTTTAGATGTATCGATATCATGTTAAAGGTTTCTATGACTGCGCTCTTGAAGTTGTAACTTAAAACTTGACTTGGTAGAGGAAAAATTTAGTTCCGCATTGGAAATGAGGTGAGAAGATAGGTTGTTTATAAGCCTTCTCTTTCTTTCCTATACCTGGAAGAAAATATGGGTTATGCTCCACACCACACACGCGCACGCCGAACCGGGCCGGGCTCTGGTTCGGGTCGGGAGGCGCGCGCCCAC